AAGACAGTAACTGGCTCAGTTCAGCCCCTGAGAGCCCCAGTCCTTCAGTGCTTTAGTGTCTTCAGTCAGGGGTTAAAGGTCAGTGTGAATCTGGATTAATGAAGACAGTAACTGGCTCAGTTTAGTCCCTGAGAGCCCCAGTATGACTCACCTGGCAGGTGTCCTTCCCCCCATTCTGATATCCAGCGCATATCATTTCTGGCTGGATAGTGTATCTGCCCTCGTACATCTCCTGGCAGACCTGGTTGTCTATAATGGGCAGTCTGACTTCCTGTAGAGTTTGAGGCCATTGGAGATATTCTGGGAAAGGACAGAGAAAAGACTCACACAATCTCAATGCCATGAGGGACTTGTAAAGTCACATGTAGAATGACTGAAGCCAGACTGGCAAAATGATTAGCTTGAGTCAGCTTCTGGGTTTGAGATAATGACTGATGAAGGGAGAAGCAATCAAAATGAGATGCAGACCCCTGTCTCCTACCTCCGTTCCCAATGTTCCCCCAGCCTGAAGCCCAGCAATCTGAGCTCTCATTGAAGTTGTCAGTGCTGTCAGCCAGGGCGACGGGCTTGATGAACTTGTTGGTTGACACTGGACTGTCCAGTTCCACCAGGGCAATGTCCCACCCATCTCCTGTATTCGTGTACCCCTCGTGTAGAATCACCCTCCTGATGGAGCGGGTTTGTTGGTAGTCATTACAAATATCCAGCATGTGTCCTCCCAGGACCACCAGGGATTTGCACATCTGAACAAAGGGTCTGAAAGACAATGTGCTTAATATTAATGACTGCAATCCAGAGAACAGGAAAGTGTTTGGATGTTGATCCTGGGTGGACAGAGATTGACATAAAAGACCTTTGTTGAAGCAGGACGCCTGCTGTGGTTTGTGTTAAAAGAACTCAGATGCAGACAGCAGGACTCCAGGTGGGACACCTGCTGCATACCTATACATACAGAGAATACTCACTTTTTCAAGCAGTGTGCTGCAGTGAGAACCCAGCGATCGTTAAGCAAGGAACCACCACAATCAAATTTGTCTTCAAATGTCTTCACCTGAATATAAGCCATCCAAGGCCATTTTCCAATATCTGCATTCTGTCCACCCACTATAGAGTTCCTGGACTCAGGAGTGAAATCACTGATCACTGGAGAGAAACAAACTGTGGTTAATACAAACACAGTGACTAGACACAACAGTACATTAACACTGCACTGAGAGAGAGAGGGGTTAATACAGACACACTGACTGAACACTCCAATACATTAACACTGCACTGAGAGAGAGAGGGGTTAAAACAGCATTTAAGTAAAGAGAACTGAGCTACACTTTTATAATTATTCTACAATCGACTGTGACAGGTCAGGTCAACATAAGAATTTTTAATACAGTTTTGCAAGTGTGCACAGCTCACAACCTGAGGTGTATTTAAATAAAATACAGGAACTATACATATTGCAAAGAGATCATGTACACATAGACTACACTACACACAGCGTACACACACAAAAACATTCTGAGACCACAAATTGCACACATCTAAACATGCACAGACCACACAATACACAGAATGACACTCACACAAACCCACACCAAGACTACACTACTCACAGAGGACACACTTGAAAGCACACACAGATTGCACTACACACAAATAACAGACACTAAAGCACTCACAGACTACACACAGATTATACTTGCACAAAAACACACATGGAACACATATTACACACAAACATAGACATACACAGCCCACACAGTACGCTGTCGTACGTTCCATTGAAATGTAAGTGTTCCTGCTGACGGATCTCCACACTGGATTTTCGGTCTGCTCTTTATACAGTATTTCTAAATTTCTAAACCTCGACCCTGCTGACTACCTGTCTGGGAGTCTTGCCTAGATGCATCAGAATAACAGCAACTGGGGTTCCTTGTTGAAATTGCAGATACAGTACATGTATTGGTGTCTTTAATGTCTTTAAACTGGTTGATATTGTTACTACGGCATTGATGAATGCATTTTCAGAAAGCAGTGCTCCTAGATGCCTCCAGCACATGTTGATGGCAACAACAGTTTCTGCTCCAGGGGTATGTTAGTTGCAGAGAGGATTTTGGGATCTGATGTCTGTGCAGTGTCTCATGTGTCCACAGAAGGCCCGGAGTCTCTGGAGTTATAGACATCGTCTCACCTGGCACTCATCAAATCATGTGGAATTCATTGATTAATTGATAAATTTATCTCTTACCTGCAGTAATGTTCAGGAATAGGATCAAAAACAGCAGCTGCAGGAAAAGCATCTTCATCATCCCAACGTCTCACTGGACATAGAGGTCAGACGCTTCTCAAGTACTGCTGGACACAGAGCACAGACCCTCCTCAACTACTGCTGGACATGGAGGACTGACACTCCTCTGGGACTGTAGATTTCCTGAGACTTTACATTTTATAGAGTCTTCGTCGTATCTGACTTATTGTGACCCTGTTCCACAGAAAGATTAAAAGATATTCAGAGACCATTTTGCAATCAGTTGAAAAAAAAGTATTTTTGATGGTATCTGTCCACCCAAATACCCGAAAAACACACCCTTTCTGATCTTATCACTTCCCAATAAAAACTGATAAACACCAACCACATCTGATGTTGTCTATGACCAAAGGGCACACAGAGTCACAGAGATGAGGATGATAGTGATGATGATGCAAATCATGATGGTGAAGTTAATGGTGATGATGATGATGATGGTATAGATGTTAATAGTGATGATGGTGGTGTTAATTATAATTGTGGTGATGGTGAAGTTAATGGTGAAGACAGTGATAATGGTAATGATGGTGATGTTGATTGTGATGACGTTAATAGTGATGGTGATGCTGCTGAGAAGTGGACGTAGGCATAGGTGGTCCACCGCATCTGTGACTGGGTGGTCCGCGGACCATAGAACTTTGAGAGCCACTGCCCTGCAGTGGGGAGATACAGTCCTACAGGATCTTTATTTACAAAGATATTCTTCAGATCCCTACAAGGCACTGCTGGATCTGAAGCTACCCTAACTCAGTCTTTAGTGCGACAGCATAGGAAGCCTTCTTTATGACAGTGGTTTCCAATCTACTCAAACACAGGGTCACGAAAGCCGATAAAACAAAAACAGACAACAGAGGGCAGGAGACAGGAGTGGGGGAAAGGACTCTCAATGGCGTAGCAGTTGGTAAAAATGTATTCATTTAAGGAGCTGTAAAAATCTAAGACTAAGAAAGCCTGTGCTTTGTCAGAAAGTCAGGAGGAGGGCGCTATCTGCAGGCCATGGCAGAAGCCTCAGAGTCAAATGTGATACTGTATCCAGTCCCTGTAGCTGGACACCTGGGTGTAGATACCAGGGGAGCCTGGGTCAGCACAGATCCCGCCGAAGCTCACAATCTCAACCTGGACCCAGCGGTTTCCCTTCTTCCCCATCCTGCAGACCAGAGGGCCTCCAGAGTCCCCCTTAAGAAAAAACCAACAGCAACATTGTGACACAAAGGACCATTTCTCTCTGGAATAAAAGACAGTAACTGGCTCAGTTCAGCCCTGAGAGCCCCAGTCCTTCAGTGCTCTAGTGTCTTCAGTCAGGAGTTAAAGGTCACTGTAAATCTGGACTCATGAAGACAGTAACTGGCTCAGTTCAGCCCTGAGAGCCCCAGTCCTTCAGTGCTCTAGTGTCTTCAGTCAGGGGTTAAAGGTCACTGTGAATCTGGTCTCATGAAGACAGTAACTGGCTCAGGTCGTGCCGCAGTCTGACTCGTCTGGCAGGTGTCCTTCCCTCCCTGACTGAACCCGGCGCACATCATGTCTGGTTTGATGGTGTATCTGCCCTTATCCATCTTCTGGCAGTTCTTGTTGTCTGTGATAGGGAGCCTGACCTCCTGCAGAGTGTGAGGCCATTGCCGGTGCTCTGGAAATGAATGCACAGAGAACATTCAAGCACTCAGAGACAAGAGTCCTTTTGGTCAGTTGTCATTTGAGATTTGAGTGTTTTCCTGAGCTACTTCTTCAACATAGGTTTCACAATGACTGGGAAGTGTGTTCCGCACTCCCACAACCCTTTGTCGAAACAAGTGTCTCCTGTTCTAAGTTTTAATTTGATCAGATGTTTTCAGGCAAGACTTTGATTATCCATGACCCTTAAATCTCACTGCTCCCTATATGTACTCTGAACACTCTATATATACTCATGAAGTCTCTATATATGTAGATCTAGATATATCCCTATAAAATTCTAAACAGTATATATTCAATTTGATTAAAGGTGCTTTATTAGCATGACCGATGGGTACAATCAGTGTTGCCAAAGCAAATAAAAATTCACCTGGAACAAAACAAAAAATAAAAGTAAAATAAAATCTACTGACATATTACAGACATTTACAACAAAGACATATAATAGAATATTGACATATACTGTAGGCAGATGGAGCATTATTGGGAGACAGACTCACTGTTCCTCAGGCTGTGACAGGAGATCAACTGAGTTCCCTCCTCCCTCTCCCAGTAGGATTGGGACCCGTTGTGATTCTGGCAGGTGTGGGAACTCTGGGATTAGATTTCTGATTTTAGGGAAGAATGTTTCTCTAATCCCAGAGTATCTGTCACAGTGCAGTAGGAAGTGCACCTATATTTGTCACTCTATATATGTCTATTGTCCACTCTATATATACTTTTTCTCCAACGTCACAACAACTCATAATCACTCCATAACAATAAGGCGTCCATCGCAGGAAACCAAACAGCAAAGCAGCAGGTTCCTGTGCAGCTGAAAGCATAGTCCAACTACACAGGAAGTGGACATTTTTAGAGTCACCTACTGAAGTGAACGACGTTCCCCCAGCCCGTCGCCCAGCACTCGGAGTTCGGGGTGAAGTGGTCGGAACCCCTGGCCAGATGGACGGGCTGGACGAACTTGGTGTAGGTCACCGGACTGTCCAGCTCCACTAGGGCGATGTCGGACCCGTTCTTGTATTCCGTGTATCCTTCGGTGAGGACCCTCTTCATGTCACGCGTCTGTTGGGGGTCATTACAAATGCCCAGCTTGTGCTCTCCCAGGACCACCAGGGACTTGCACAACACGACGGGCCTGAGAAACGAGGTGTTTAAATACATCCATCAATGGGATGGACCCTGGAGGGACACACACACGCACCCTGGACAGAACACCTGTCCATTGCAGGACACACACACCCTGGACAGGACACCAATCCACCACAAGAAACACACCCACCCTGGGCAAGACACCAGTCCATCACAGGACACACCCACCCTGGATAACACACCTGTCCATCGTAGATCACACACACCTGGACAGGACACCGGTCCATCACAGGACACAAAGACCCCGGACAGGACACCGGTCCATCACAGGACACACACACCCTGGACAGGTAACCAGTCCATCACAGGACAGACACACCTGTCCATCGCAGGACACACACACCTGGACAGGACACTGGTCCATCACAGGACACACACACCCTGGACAGGACACCGGTCCATCACAGGACACACACACCCTGGACAGGACACCAGTCCATCACAGGACACACACTTAAAAAAGGATGTGAAGCACACCCAGAAGATGACCCAGGCCAGAATACCAGTCAGTACCCAAGAGCTGAGGTGAAGCACCAAGTGACTGTGCCATCCTATCGGTGCGATCATGAATAATAAACAGGGCAACTTTCTAGCCTTTAAAAGTGCACAACAGGTTAATTAATTATAATTAGGCTGCAGTATTGTAGATAGAAATTTTTGTCTCACTACTAAATATTTATTGTTCCTGTTGTCTCCATTGAGTGGTGTTGTCTGCTGTACTGTGTGCGTCCCAATCAGTGCCATTAAGAATTACAAATGTACGTGTACATATGGCAATAACCTCCTCCGCTCTTTAAGACTTTGAGACTGAATCAGGCCACCCTCTGCATTGGTGTGTCGTTAACCAGGCTTTATCCTCACGCCCCCGATGAATTCGTTTATAGTCAGGGGTAACCTTACAGCTATTTTTACACCATGAAACGTTCAGTGGAGCTTCACTCTCAGTGTCATTTTATTTTCCAAACAAACACCATTTGAATATGGTTCCACATGTAATTTGAAGTCTTTGAAAATGATACATGTGTTAGAATGAATAATTGTGGTATGCTACATACAGCATATAAAGATGTGCACTCTGATGCTGACTTGAGCGCATTTTTGTTTAGCACTGATCTCTATACTACAATTCAGCACAAACACGTAATGCAAATTCCTTTGAAGACAGTTTGAAATGACACATAATGACACTTTTGGGCTTAAACAATTTTCTCTAACTGGGGTCATCCTTGAGCTTTGTGCTTGTTTCCTGATGGCATGGAGGACACGACTCTGCCATTTCTACCCTGGATACAAGAGTGGTGGACAATATGTAACTGCAGCGATCAATTGAAGAGACATGATTCCCGACTTTAACATTTAACATGTTATCTGGGATGGTCAGTCCAGAGCTCTTCAAAAGTCGATGTTGGTCAGTCCAGAGTCTCAGTGTGTGATGGAGCAGGTCTCTGGGATGGTCAGTCCAGAGCT